AATGATTGTTCGTAGTAGATTCCCTTGTGGTTCTAAGTTACTGTGATTGTGGTAGACCTGTTACAAAACGTTTTGCAAATCTTTTCTTAGTCTCTAGTGGTGTATGATTTCGCCGACAGAAATTGTCCTGATAATGTCGCCTTCAGTTTTATTTGTACGGTTAGAATGTTAAGAAGACTCATAGAAAATTAAGTAATCTCGTTTATTTATGTACGGTTAGAATGTTAAGAAGACTCACAGAAAATTAAGTATTCTCGTTTATTTCCCTTGTGGTAATTAAGTCCATGGAAGAAAGTCCTTCTTGAGAAGCAGATAGCCGCTCAGCTATTCCAGAAATTCCCCGCCTTTTATGGAACGAGAAAGATCATTAACGTCATCAGAAGATTTTGTCACTCTCTTATCCTGTATGATGATGTTCGTATCATGCCATCTTATTTCCTGCAAATACATTTTAATATTATTCTCCCATTTAATTGTGTCTTTCAAGCGTTCAGGGTTTACGATAAATTTAGAATCGTATGTTCCTCGTAAATATCACGCTTGCTAAATCTGTCTGTCTGTCTGCAGCGTAAATACAGAGGCGTGTTATGAGGATGACCTTATTACATTATTTTGTATATAGACAATTTCTGAATTTGATCAGAACGGTATTCAAGCTTATGAAATGCAATTCCGCAGATAAGATGGAGGTATTAACTGGGCGATATTGCTGGAATCCCATGTATGGCTGTCCGTAAAAGTACTGGGAAAATGTTACGTTCAAGGAGGTCCTCAAGAGGATAATTTTTTTAAATATAATTTAATATTTTGTGAGAGCAGGTTAAAATTACATTATCTGTTATAGAAACACGTGATTCTACGTCTTTTTACACTTTGAGTTTGAAGATAACGGGCAGAGGAAATTATTTCTATATAAACATCAGCATAAATATAAGTGCAAACATCTTGATTAAACTTTGTCTCTCGTTCTGTGGAATAACAAATATTCATAATTTTTTAAAAAAAAGGATTTTAAATTTATGAAAGGTTAGCTCGTCTCAGTACTAATTACAGAATTCAGTCCGTACCGCAAAGAAAACACAGCTCTTCACCGTTAGAAGGATAGAGTGGTTAACGCTGTTTAAGGTGATAATTGCTGTTTACTGTAAGACACAAATGCAAACTGCACAGAGTTACCAGTTGTTGAAGGAGGTGACAGCCTTCACTGGGTTCAGAAACAGACGTAAAAAATCCCAAAAATGTGTTATCTTTGTCGGACCTCGTTCGTTTGATAACGCCACGAGGAATAATAGAAATGGAGAATGCGTACAGAATATCGGTCGGACACCCTCATGAAAGCAACTCGCGTATGGGCATTTATTTTATAGAACCCGAATATTTTATTATCTGTACGTATTAAGAGCACAGAAAATATGGCAGGCATGTATACCATTGCCTCAATGCAATATTAAATTTATTTTATCGTCATTTTCGAATCCCCTCTTATTAAGAACCACAGATATGTATTAAATTTTTACCAGTGGATTAAAGCCACAAATATGTCACATCCCCGATATAATTAATTTTATATTTTTCCAGAACTCGTTCTGTATCGTTCTATATGAATTCAATAGAATTAACTGCCTTTCATATGCATGCAGATAGAAATATAAATTAGTTTGCCATGTTCTTATAGAATATACATCAAAGCGCTCGCTGTAATAGGACAGATTGTTCAATTCCGATTCGAGATAAAGAGACCTTAGTCTGCACCCTGG